TTCACATATGGATGCATGAATCAGTGCGGGCCAGACGACCAAATGTGAAACTGGTGTGGCCTGATAGCATCGTACATGCAGTCTCCGACTTTTGCTCGTGTCTTGGTGCGCAAAACAAAACTGCACATATAATCATCGCATAGCTGAATTTCTACAAATCAATTGAACTTAAACTACTAGTATAATGACTGTGACGATTAATCGCTTGTCTGAGCACATGCGGCGAGAAATTATTGGATTGGCAGCAGCCGGACGAAAAATGAAAGAGAGGAAAACATAAAACAAAACAAACGCAGCCAGTGAACAGATACATTTCGAAAATAAAAATACAAAATAAACACAATTAGAGGAGCCGACCATGCGCGTTGGAAATAAATAAAATGTGTTGTGACACACTGGCAGCCCCATCAGACTCTTTCACTTAATATAATTATGCTATTTACCAAAGCACTTATATTTAATACATTGACGAAAAACACGGCAAGAAAAATGTAAATCAGGCTTGTAATTACTAGTAACTCAACTCGAACGCAATATTGATTACTGTAAAAGTGGATAAATTTGAATCTTCATCAAATTCAAACGATCTCGTTGAATTTCAATCAAAAATAAACTTGATGTTTAGAAAGAAAGACAAAAACAACAACATATTGGAGTGCAAAAAAAGTTAGCAGCAAAGAACGAGAAATGCATGTGGGAAAGCGATGAGCGAACTCGAGGAAAATTATGCTAATGTGAGAACAAACCATATACCCGCGGAGAACTCGCTAAAACATCGAGAAAATGTGCCATTTCGAAGGGCACCTTTACAAACAAGCCATGCATGGCACAGTCCCCGTTAGTTATCAAATTTAAGATATATAGTTTTATTTATAGTAATATACATTTAGCTGGGATATAACCATGTCAGGAATATGATTTTTTAACATTAAAATGATAGACATTTGTATCTGATCGTCAAACAAGTACTTGTCCATATTGAGATATTGCTCTGGAACAGCATTCAAAATCAGCCATTTTGAATACATGTATATAACATGATGTATAACGAATATATAAAATTTGAATATATAATCAGTCAAAGCATTTAAGAGATATGGCTCTAGAAGCCCAATTATTAAAACAAAATGGCCGCCAGTCAGCCATTTTGAATCCAATCTGAAAAATAAAATGACGTGCATCAGGAACCCGTAATGTCTAATGTATGTACCAAGTTTGAACAAAATCCATCCATAAATGCCAGAAAAGCTTGATATTTGATGATTTTTTAGCACAAAAATGACCATCATTCGGCCATTTTGAATAGGATCGTCAAACCAATATATCTGTTTAACTATGACATGATGTATGATGAATATTAAAAATTTGAACATAACCAGTCAAAACAAGTTGGAGATATGGCACTAGAACCACATTCGTTGAAGCAAAATGGCCGCCAGTCGGCCATTTTGAATCTTATCTGAAAAACAAAATTATTTGCATCAAGGTCCCATAATGTCTAATGTATATACTAAGTTTGAACAAAATCCATCTGTAAACAGCCGAGAAATGCGTGATTTTTAGGATTTTTCATCACAAAAAATGGCCGCCATTCGGCCATCTTGAATCAGATCGTGAAACAAATTGACGTGCATATGTATAATATCATGTATGATGTATGTGTGAAGTTTGATTGTGATTGGTCCAGGTATTTCTAAGATACAGGTCCTGGCGCACGCACACACGCACGCATGCATGCACGCACGCACGGACGGACGGACACACGGAGGTCAAAACATAAGTCCCCGTTTTCGTACTGCGTCCGAACGGGGACTAATAATGTTTGCGATTGTGTGAACATGATAACGTGCAAACAAGGAACAGAGCTTGTGGTCCAAGGAAACTTAGCGATGACGCAGTTAGATGTATACGGCTGTTGAAAACAGACTCCTTCGACCTCATATGGGCAGGTTCACGTGGATGTTTCATTTTCAACTATTACCAACAACACTATGGTAATAAAGACTTTCCGTTTTCGACATTGTGAAATTTTTTTGTTCTTATGTAGAAAAATACAATATTTTTACCAAGTAAAATCATATTTATTAAAGTTATTGTTCATACATGAGTTGTCGAACACACTACATAGTTTGTAATTTCATCCAGCTCCTTTCAGTCACGATTCAAGACAAATAAAAGGCACAAATATAGAGAATATAGCAAATTATTTTTTCTGTAATATTCATGTGTAATCAGTAATTATGAAAATAATTTATGGGTACATATGGAATACATTTCGTTATGAACTGTTCTTAATATAAATTTCTAATCAGTTTTTTTTTCAGGGTTTTCCCCCCAGAAAATAGGAAAGAATTTCATAATGTCAGGAACGGGAAGTCTTTTTTTTATTATTATATATTTATTGGGAACGGAAAGTCTTTATCGTAGTGCTTCGCCTCGGTTGACAATGAGCTCTTCGGATCGCTAAAACTGTATGTCCACCTCTGTTGGGGTTAACATTTTTATTATTATACCGAATAAGTCTTAAAACAGAAATTGTGGCACTCAATCATGGCAATCTTCCAGGTCATCGTTAGAAATATTTTCGGAGGCAAATTCAATCTCCACTCAAGGCTACCTTGAAGGATTGCAGGAAATTGACCCTTAGCAATTCATATTTATGAATTAATCGGGATTCAGGTACCATAGTGTTTGTAACTGAGTATTCCTAAATGTACGCAAAAAAACATGAACTTTCACGCAAACATTGTCAATGGTTCCCCGACACTGATTCCTTTTTATCTTTCAATTTTTCCAAGACGTCGTCGAGATGCAGGTGCGATTCCTCTTAGCATTGCGTTCTATTTATTTCCAACGCATGTGGTAGGCGCCTTTGATTGCGTTTATTTTGTTCTTTTATTCACGAAATCTATCACTGGCAGTGTCTATCACTGGTCGCGTCTCAATTTAATGTTCAAGCTGACTTTGTTTTGGCTGTAAGTAAATTACATACAGCAAAAAAAAAAAAACATAATTGTAATTCAACAAATTTATGTAACGTGTTAGTCCACTTGCCAGCCGCCTAGTTAAAAAACGTGATCTCCATTGATGTCGGCTTCGATAACTTCAGACAAGTAAGATGGGCGCCGGCCGACATTACATTTGCAATTATTGTATTTGTTTGACAAATTGTACAGTACGGTCATTCTATAACAATCGATTGGTCGTTTTTTCCAGACTTACTGTTCCTGCAGATATTCTTCAATATTGTTATAGGTGCCATGATAGGTGCGATAAAATCTCGACGTCATGTGGAGTTTGTTTACTTGTTTTGGATATGGGTCATAAAAAGTTAGATAAGCTAGATTAGAAGGCAATGCCTAAGACAAGGTACTCATAAATACTTTCTTACGCGTGGAACTATTTTTTGTTTTTCACGATGACAATAATCATGACAATAAACATATACTGTTGAAAATGTTATTTAGTTTAGAGCTCCATGGAGTTACATTGTATCTTTATCATCATATTTTAACATGAGTATTCAATCTGGAACGGCCTTTTCACTTCGCTTTTACGCAAAGGGATATGCAAATGTAACCTTTATGCAGTTTTATTCTTATAAAAACAACTGGTGTCCAGTTTTCAGTTTTTAATTTTCAGTTACGGCATTTCGTCGAACTTTGTAGAAGCGTACATGATTTGTTAATTTTACCCGTAAGAGTATCAGTATGGCCACTTTCACATATAAACGGGGAGACATCATCGAGGCAGTTGATGGAGTGAATCGATGGGCAGTCGCCAAAGGACGACAAATACTTGTACTTTTCCGTTTATATTGTTCTAAGACTTATTTTAAATGATCACGAAAATGTGTATGATTTCTATATGATCGTGGTATAGTAACACAAACGCGCACTCTACGTGATTTTCTAAACTGGCAAGTCAATCGATGTCTAAAAGTAGTTCCAGTCAGTACACATTTGTTTACACATTGTTATGTGGCATAAGATAACAATCTTTATAACTAATTAAATAAGACTAATCTCCTAATCATAAACTGATAACCAAGTGAGGTAGTGGGGTACATTTTTTTAATGGGTTGTTCCCGTAATGACTCGGTGCGGAGAAAACAGAAGTGATCATAAGGCAAGATGGCATGGGCCTCTTTGCCTCGATCCTGTGTTAGATGACGTGGAAGAAAATCTATGAGGTCATGGGGCTTCCCCTCTCTCTCCATCGTTGGCTGAATCGCAGATTAATGCCTACAGTTCAAAATACTCATTTTGACAGACCAGAGTCTATGGTGGGTAATTGAATGTAGTGAATTGTAAAATCAACTAGAAAAAAGAAAGAAGTAAATGCAATTCTGCGAAGTTACAATTTTCAAGCCATTCTACACCACTGAAGCACAAAGTAATGTACCTTAGATTTTTCTTACAAGTTTTATTGATTTTTTTTAAAAAAGAAAAAAAAAATCCTGAAAAGAATCCCTGAAATTAGCAGAAATAATGGAATGATCTTGAAAACACTAATGACTTGTATCATTTGTATACACCTTCAGTAGCATCAAGTAGGTTTCCAACCAGTGATGTAATTTGTGTAAGTAGCATCTCTTCCTGGAATGCGATGACACAGGGTGACTGTATCAGGGAGTTGGCATTGTAAAGAATAGGCTACACAACTTATCAGCAATTGGTTCACAGAAAAGCATGGTATGCAGTGCATATGATCTTGCCATGCACCAGGGTGTGTACTGTGTTCAATGCAACTGGTCACATGATATTCAAATTGTAGCTCATGAATATTAATACAAATTCAAACTTTGCAAAGAATACTAGAAGTTCAAAGTTCATTTCAATCACTGCACTATTTCTTGTGCAATTTTTCTTTTTTTTTTCTTTTTTAAAAGTCTTTTACGCAAGACTAGGTACAATTATGACACAAGATTCATGAGACAACATGTGTGCAACAACTTTTTTATTGCAGTCTCAAAATTAATGGATTAGTGGATTACCCACCTTAGGTGCTTCAATTGCTGTATATGTAGATCCTGGTGGCACTTGATAACCTTCTGTGAACAGCTTGAAATGATGAATCAATGATTCCATGGAGTCCTATCAAATGAAATATATACAGTATTGATCAGATACCGGTACTTTGGGATGGTTGTTGAGACTCCCCTGAACAGTTTAACAAGATTACCCCTGCGTGTGTAACATAAATGACTTTGTACATAAATTTGGTTTTTACTTTGGGGTTACTTCAAAGTTGAGTTTGTGTTTTCTCAAATTTTTGACCAGCTCTTCGACCAGTGTTCACAACAGCTCGCATAGAGCCATGGAAATACATGCTACGATAGTGCACATATTCGCAACATAGAACGTCTTGTGACATAGCTGCACCCCTGAAAATAGGGTAAAATAGAGAGCACTTCCTGTCACGAGGGCGTAGTTCTATTGGCAGTATATTCTGAAATGATCAGCTATTTGAGTAGTACAATTGTGCCGAATTACATGCTTTTATCATGATATTAATAACTGGATATAACAGAGAGTACTTCCTGTCACTAGATGGCGCTGTTCCATTGGCAGTATATTTGGAAATGATTGAGTAGTACAATTGTGCTGAATTTCATGCTTTTATCATAAAATTAATGGAACAAGCAGCCTGTCGGCTGAGATAGCTCCACTGTTAGCAATGCACAGTACAATTAACAAACAGAAGATATTATTAGAAAATGAACAATATGTATAGTATCAAAGCAATGGGACTTGCTGTTTTCAACAAGAAGTCAAAAATATCACTTTTTACCAAAAATGACAAAAATAATCATCAAAATTAGATATCATCACGAAATTAACAAATCTGAAAGAGGTCCACATGTAGTACCAATATATGTAATATAAAAGCAATCAGACTTGCGGTTTTCAGTAAGAAGTCAAAAATGTCACTTTTTACCAAAAATAACAAAAATATTCACCAAGATTAGAGAATTTAAGATATCATGAAATGAACAAATCTGAGAAAGGTTCACATGTAGCATCTATATAATGTAATGTCAAAGCAATTGGACTTGTGCTTTTTAACAAGAAGTCGAAAATATCACTTTTTACCAAAAATGACAAAAATATTCACCAAAATTAGAGAATTTAAGATATCACCATGAAATGAACAAATCTAAGAGGTCTACCCCAGGTACATACAAACCAAGTATCAAAGCATTCAGGCTTGTAGTTTTCAAGAAGAAGTCGAAAGAGTAAAACATTGACACGGACGACGACGGACAATCACTCATATGATAAGCTCCGCTCGACAATGTCAACAGCGAAGCTAATAAAATAGAGGGCACTTTCTGCCACTAGAGGGCGCTGATCCATTTTCAGTAGCAGTATCCTCGGGCAGACATCCGGGTATTTTCACCGCATGGCAACCATTGCGGTGAAAACAAAGGCCAAAAACTCTCAGAAAACGGTACTTTGGGATGGTTGTTGAAACTCCCCTGAACCATTAACAAGATTATCTTTCTATGTGCAATATAAATTTCGTTGTTCAGGATTACTTTGAACCTGAGTTTGTGTTGTTTTCTCGAATTTAGCTATTTTCACCGGCTCTTTGACCGGCATTTTACAGCTGAAATACATGGTACAGTGGTGCACGTCTTAGGAACATGGAACGTCTTGTGACGTAGCTCCGCCCGGAGGATATCAGTAAATGTACAGCTGCAACAGCAAGTTCCAGGCATCTAATTAAAAGTGCACAAAGCTGTCTGCTTTTTGTGCATAAATACTGGAAATAATACTTTGTGTTTAGGCAATTACCTTCATTTCAGCTCTTGATGGTGGTGTTATTTTGTTGTCATCTATTTTGATTTCACCTTCTGGCATTTCATTCAAACACTGGAGAATTATTCGCAAACTTTGTCTCATTTCTTCCACACGACACAAATACCTGGTGATAGAGAATGCAATGAATAAATGTATAATAATGTATAAACAAACCAATGATGCATTATTACACATTACTGAATACTTACTGTACTGTTTGTGCCCATATATACAAGAGATCATTCTCCCAATCTTTAGGGAAGGCAAATTCTCCTTGAATGAAGACACAATGCCCCAAATTTAGTAATATACATATATATAATACTGTAATATTTACCTTTTAAGCCTCTCAAATCAGTGAAATTTAAGTCTTCAAAACAATCAGATAAATAAACAAATACAAAACTCTAGTCAATGTCAAGAACAAGTGTTTGCTGGAAAAGACCTCTTCTAATACTAAGTTTAACTCAACTCATACTCTCTACTGCCCCCTCAAATTAAATTGATATGCCCATAGTTATCTAGAGAGGCATATACTAAGGGATGGAGGGTTAAGATTAAAAGTCTTTCTGTTTGCTGCATGGTAAATCAGTACAAGCTTTACTGCAAAATACACTCCATGCTTCTATTCTAAGCCATGTATCACATTTTCATAAAAGTTTGCAATAATATGGCGCTGTGGAGAGTGCTTTGTTATTAATTTACATAAGATGTGATTTTATATTGTCCATCAACAAATGTTTATCCATTGATATCATTGAATCAACACAATATACTTGGCAACACGCAAGTACTGTAAAGAAATTTAAATATTAACTGAATTTTAAAAGTGCTATTCTTGCTAGAAATTGAAACCTGCTAAATTAAATTCTTGTTAGCATGTACAATGACAATACCATATTTGCTCTTAGCAAGGCATGCAATTATTTCAATGACAGAGGTACATGTATGGTCATATTTAAATAATATAAAATAGTGAAGAATATAAAAAAAATGCAGAAAAATTTGAGTCTGGTGGTGAAAAGGTTAAAAGATGGTGGTTGTCGCACAACACATGTTCAAAATTTGTGTGAATAAACAATGGCGGCTTATGCATTGTGAACATTGTTCCATACCAAACAGCGTGTGGTGTGACGAACACTCTTCAATAGCAAACAGTTGAAAGCTTTTCTTGATTATTGCACTAACTAACAAATAAATTACTTGAGTTGCAAACATTACCTGTCATAGCAGTCTCCATTGGAGCCAATAGGAACATCAAAGTCCATTCTATCATAGACCTCATATGGTGCTGCTTTACGAATATCCCATTTAATACCAGATCCTCTAAGCATTACACCACTGTCAATCAAAATAATAGCAATATAATATGATTCTGTAAACATTAAAATTGGGTTCCACAATCTCTAGGATTGCACAGTAGCCGAGGTGGGGGTGTAAAAATACTCCTGCTTTGCCATGGCGGAAAATACAAACATGTCAGTTTACTGATATTCAATAGAACAGAATTGGTTGATTGGTACACCCAGAAACACAATGTCACACATGAAAATCTACATGTATGTTACTGGATGTCCACACATGTAAAACATGCATCTTTAACTTCTGGGAAAGTGGTCTATATGAATGACCACGCTATCATTTACATGTATTATGCATAGGTGTTATTACTATGAGTTGCATTTTATGTATACCATTGTCTGCCTTGAAAAAACGTAGGTCATGAAAACTTTAATTTGAATAAACCAGTGTTTAATGTCTTTTCATCAACTTTTAGGTGAGAATTGTACTTCACTCTTGCCAAACAAGTAACTTGCATCAAATACAGTTAAACTTGTCAAAATCAACCCCTGGATAAACTGACCTACTGTCAGAACTGACTGATTTATGTTGCCTCGAAATTTCTCCATAGACGCCTATGTTAAAACAGGCTGTGAAATCTGCTCTCGTAATCCGGTCTGTCCAACCTAAAAAGTGTGCATTATGTGAACGTCACAGAAACAGTACCAAATCTCACAATACAAGTTAAACGTCAAATGAAAAAAAATGACAACTGTTTATTAAAGTTTGTTACACTACACGTCCACGTATAACGTGGTGTCTGGCAGTATAATGACCCTCGGATATAAACAAATGATCAGCGCCATCACCTTCAGTTTCGGTGAAGCGCACTGAATTATCACCACTTCAACGAGCAAAAGACACTGAGTTTTCTTCTTTACATAACGATTCTGATTGAAATAGATGACAACAAAGAAATCGGAAACCTCATTCAGCAAGTTTTAGACGCGCAAACACAGTGTAGCGTTGATGAATACCTCCATTTTGATGAACGTATACAGACTGAAGCAATGTATGACGGCGAGTGGAAGCAACAGATTGTTGAGAATTTTATTGTAGACAAAGATAAGCAAGAATCTACACTCCGTTGACAAATTGCAATGACCGTCAAATTATCAACGAGATTACAGAACTTCGCAATAAACAACGACTCCAGTTACTTGACAGTTACAAAATCAGAAAAAAAATCGCTGAATAAAGATGTTCTTTAAAACAGTCAAAACATGATTTTTTTTACATCGTAATTTGATTCATTGACTTACATTGTAACAGAAAAATCGACTGTCTGCATAAATTAGGATAATTACATGTAGCTTATGTGAACTTGCGTTGTGATGTCATTCAGATATGATATGCGGTACTTACCCTATCTGTACGAACAGTTATTTTAATGTTTATTGATTTTGTGTACATACCATAATATTCATGTTTTGTTTGGTAAATTATTTTATTGAAACAATACAATAAATGATTACTAAGTTAGTCAGGCGTGGGATGAAGATCAGTTAAGGATCACGCCCTGGGATTTGATTCTTGGCAAGAAAGTCTATCCGAGTCTTCAAAACAAGTCATTGTTAATGACACAGTTCCCGTCAAAATTTTGTGATCTGACATATCAATTTGATGCTGATGAAGTCATTGCGATTAGATTGAAACCATTAATAGGAGATGGATTTGCAAAAAATTATGATTTAGTGCTTTTACACGAGAATTGAACATTGGGCAGTCATATTGAATCAAATTACAAAAATAATGTTCATGTTGATGTATCTATTGGTAAACTGTCTTTGTACGAAATTTAAACAGAAATGTTCATTGCATTCATAGGCATTGGTATCATGAAAAACAAAATGGCCACCAGTCAGCCACAATAGTTTGAATCACAGAAAAATATGACATGCAACTATAACCCAATATGTATGATCATCATACAAACTTTGATCCAAATTGGCCTAGTCATCTCTGAGAAACAGCTCCGGACATGTAAAAATTATGATTTAGCACTTTTCATGAAAATTGGGCATTGGCCGGCCATATTGAATCGAATCACAAAAATAATGATAGTGCAGATGTATCTCTTGGTATACTATTTTTGTACAAAATTTAAAGAGAAAAGTTCATTGCATTCAAGAGAAAGTAGCTAGGGTACCATGAAAAACAAGATGGCCGGCAGTCGGCTATATTTGTTCCAATCACAAAAAAAAAAGACGTGCACCTATAACCCAATATGCATGATCATCATACCAACTTTGATCCAAATCGGTCCAGTCATCTCTGAGAAACTGCTGCGGACACGTTTAGGTATCAGAAATAGCAAATTTTACATCCAAAATGGCGCCATAATGTATTGTCTTCATCTAAAGTTTGAACGAAATCCGTCAATGAGTGTCCTAGGTATAGCCCAGGACGTACGTACGGAACAAACCCAAATTAATAGTCCCCGTTTTTGGACTTTGTCCGAACAGGGGACTAACAACTTGTAAGTTCATTAAGGAAACACATCCGTCCCTGAAGGACAGAACTCCGATCTCTGAACGCCGCCTACCTGATGCCAGAGTTGAGAGGAAAAAAACGTTTTCATAAAAAATCAATTAATCTCCATCTCCCTTCCGTTACACCAATCGATGTACTAGTAGAGTCATTCTGCAGCACTGTTGCGTATCTCCAGAAGGTGCTGAGCCATTAGCTCCACTCGGTTCTCCAAGTACCAATGGAAGATCTCCTTAGCTAGCTTCGACAACGTGGGAGAATGCGTCCCCCTTGTGATGTACAACACTACTGAGGTGTTGTCAGTCTGAAGCAGGACTCTGTGGTGGTGTGCGACCTTCTGAAAATTGAGCTCAACAAACCCGTTCAGCGAACTGAGGTATGGGACAGGACAGACCCAAAACCAGGATCAGTCATCTTGTCCTTGTCTCTCAAAGGGTACCAATCACCCCCCTCCAACACCCTCTGAGCCCCTGCACAGCCTGGGTCACACAAGGTGCCCAGAGGAGTTGGCCTGCGGGCTTGGTCTCCACAATGACAAAGTGTTTATCCCGGTGTCGGTACCATCAGTTGTTGGCAATTCCGTTCCCCTGGCAAAAGCGGAGGAGTGGGGAGTGCCCGCCTCGGTAATACCATACGAGGGAACTAACTCTGCAATGAGAGAATATCCAGTCTTTGGCTCTTCCGAGACAGTGACCAACGCCTCTGCCACCTCAGAGATGAACGACTGTGAAGGTCTTACCTCAGCCGCCGTTTCCACCACATTGAGCAGGAAGTCAGACCGTGTCAACTCCTGGTCTCCTTCAGTCCGAGATAGGAGCCTCGTCTGGTTTACCAAGGGGAAAGAGAGATATTTTGACTCATTGAAACAGACACATCTCTGCTGAGGGGACACATGTGTTGATCCCAAACTAGCAGCTCTCTAAGTGGCAAGGTGAACGTATCTATGTACCATATCTAGTCGGCACGTTCTTAGTCTTTTAATGGCTTAGGCATGATGCAATCAAAGAAAAGACAAGAAATGAGATTGTAAAAAAAAAACAAGAAAATTCACCCCGCCAAAACGGGAATCAAGGCGAATTCAAACTGAGCCCTTATAATGGAAAGCCCTTAACGTGATGTAGAAACTGCTATTGTCGTACACAAGATTTCTAAAAAAAGCAAAAAAAAGGCAATCTGTCTGTCTTTGTTAAGCTAACACCCAGCTGTTAAAAACATCCCTGTGATCGTGTCGCAAACAAAAGAGAATGGCCTCAGGAGCCTGATCGCCTTGGGGGTGACCCCTTAGGAGAGGCCTTTTTCTTAGAGAATGCTACCCTAGGGTGTTCTTTTTGGACCCGGGTATGTAATCTGCAATCAAGCCTAACGAGTAATAAATGAAATTTATTATTTCTACGGATTTTCTGGTAGGTGATGTAGTGAACAAAATAGTTTTGTAAGGTGATTGTGCTAGTTGGATCAGGTAAACCTAATATTCAGTAATACTTTTGACGAGACAAACAAGTTTGTTGGAAATGTGAGGCAAACACTATAGAATGTGATAGTTGGATGAGAGGAACACAGTAGTTGAAAGAAGAGAACATGATAGTTACATTTGTACATGTGTAACAGTTTAGGTGAAAGCTGTATTGCTCATACAAAAATGTATTACCTGAATCCATAATTGATAGCTTCTTCAGCTGTGATTACACCAACATCTACTGTTCTAAGCTTCCATATTCTATTAGCAGTCAACATCTGTTACACAGAAATCAATATGTAATAATGGCCACGTCAGTCAACATAATACAGAAAATGCAGACTAACTTTCGAATCACAAAAATAATGTTTATGCGTATGTATCCCTTGGTATACTATCTTTGTACAAAATTTAAAGAGAAACGTTCATTGCATTCAAGAGAAAGTAACATGGGTACCATGAAAAACAAAATGGCCGCCAGTCAGCCATATATCCAATCATAAAGTAACTTGACGCGCATATGTAAGACATTATGTATTGTCTTCATGTAAAGTTTGAATGAAATCCGTCAATGGGTGTCCGAGATATAGCTCCGAACGAACGGACGGAACCCAAATTAATAGTCCCCGTTTTCGGACTTTGTCTTTGTCTCTTACATTTGACATAATATTAGTCCAGAAGATAAGGACATGGTACTGTTGCAAAAACGTATTTGAGTAGATTAATCAAATTGTTTCATAAGCAGAATGTTAATTATTTATTTTGTCTCTAAACAAAGACGACATATTGATAAAAGTGTGGTCACATAAGACGTGTGTTCTTCAGAGAGGCAGTCACTAACACAGATTTGACTGATAATATACGACACTCCACATCCATACATGTATAAACTCATATTGAACCAATTACACTTAGTATAATAACTACAATCTTGATCCAACTGTGTATCCAATGTGGATGAGTTTCACTAAAGCCACAAATTTATGATTATTCAGTGATCAAGATATTCCTAGGTCCTTATTCATGTATACAACTCCTACATCTCAAAGTCATCCCAGAATGAAGTTCTGATGG